AGTGCAATCATCAAAGAAATGTCCCCAGTGACACACTTCCACCAGATATTCGCCATTTCCACCATCTCACAGAGCAGTATGTCTGTCACAAGCATTTAATACATGATGTTATGAGGAACAATTCATATTCAATCTGTAACACAATCTTTCTTTATATCTATATTTATAGGAACTTGACCCATATCTGTGAACTTATGTACACATATGTACATACACATATATTAGGGTAATGCGTGTGTACTGCTCTGAGATGTTTTGCAAGACTATGTATGTATTAATAATCACATTGACCTGAGCATTAAGGCAGCTTTTTAAAAAGCATAATAGTGGGAAATAGGCAGAAATTACAATTTATGACTTTTTAATTTTCTAAGTGCAGGCACAAAACATTTGAAGTGTTCAAATGAGTATGTGTGTCTAACGGTTTGTAGTAATTATGAGAACTGGTAGATACTACACTGTGAAAATATTAGCACAAACATGAAATTGATCCTAAAATGCAGAGAGAATTCTACTACAAACAGTAAAATATAAAATAAAATAAAGGAGAAGAAAAGTACAAATACATAGTTATTAAACTCAATTACATAAGAAAACACAATCAAAGGTTTCAGTAATTGAGAGAAATGTGACATAAGGATGTATTTTACCATATGGTTAACTTTCCCACATAGTGTTTATCTTTCATATCTCTACACAGACATACATTTACACAATAAAGAAGTCTCTCAATTATAATGAGCAATTTGGGGACCATCAGGACGTGACTGAGAAAGACTTGGGAAAGCAATTTTTATTTATATTTGTTATAATTAGGTATACTTGTAAACACATATGAAGATGTGTACATATTCCATATTGTGTTCAATTAGAAAATAATTCATGGGTTCTGTAGTGGCTCATAAGATATAATCTTTCTCTGTTTCTGTGTTATATAAGGCTTGGAGCGTTGATCTCAAGTAATGGCTCCAGACTCAACTTGCATCTTCTACTCTTGCCATCAGTCAGAATGATATGGAATATGAGAGCTGTTCCAACTTTAAGATAGTCTGGGAATGGGGGATCTTATTGCTGCCACCTATATCTTTGTGATAAACAAAGTTATCAAAACATAAGGTGCAGAAATGCAATGATGAACTTAATGATAGTGCCAAACTAAGGGCACTTGCTACAGAGTAAGAAAGAGAAATGAATATTAGAAAAACTATTCTTCACTTTCCATAGTTCATATTAAGTCAAAAATGATGGATTCTCTGCTGTACCTAGACCCCAATATTTGGGATCAGAATTGAATGTAGAAAAGAATAGTGGTGAAGTTGAACAAAATAGTATTTGCTATATGAATAAAATAAGCAATATTCCTGTATCTATAAAAGTATCTCAGAAATGAATATATCATGCTCTTTCAGGAAGCAGTAAATCAATATTATTTTAGATACATACTTAGAAGCTTATCTTCAATGTTCTATGCCCCTTCATCTAGAAAAGTGGTTTTTAGCGGCAAAGATCTCCTTTGTGGTAAGGAAGAGGCAAATGTCCCAAAGCTGTGGTGAGTCCACCTGGTTAAACCCTGCCCGTTGGGGAAGGTGGGGGAGAGGGGGCTTCTGCCGCCTGGGTGAAATCCAGGTAAATCCGCTTCTGATACCAGATAACGTGGTTAAATAAGGATCAGGATAAACAAATAGGCCAAATAGATGTTTATTCAGGGAGAAATAACTTACAACCTAGACAGATGAACACCAGAAAGTTCAACCTGATCCTCTCCTGTCCGAGTCACGCCAGAAAGAGAGCCTTTCCTGGCTTCCCTCTGACCTCCTTCCACAGGTCACTCCGCCCATGGCTCCACCCCCCAATGGGCATGGTCAGTGCCACAGATGAACTATCTCACTACAGTGGTTCTCAACTGTTATGATGCTGTGACTCTGAAATATAGTTCCTCATGCTGTGATGACTCCACTATGAAATTATTTCATTGCTAGTTCATAACTGTGCTGTTATAAATTATAATACAAATATCGGATATGCAGGGCATCTGATATACTACCCCCAATGAAGTAATGAAGCACAGTTGGGAACCACTAATCTAGATGAACTTTCTTGACTTTATCTTGTCTTTCCACCTTTTAATACCCACTAGTGATTAAATCTTATCCATTTCTCACTAATTCATGTTATAATCAGGTACACCTCTGCTTCATTACTTAACTCCTCTGACATGAATTTTAACTTTTGTCTTCAGACAATGTCCATATATTAGAAACCTGTTAAATTCTTGAAGGAAAAATACCATCTTGCAAACATTGACCAATAGTTCAGACCTGTTTTGATATTTACTCATGGAAAACTTCATCCACATGGTCTATGACTTATTCATTTACTAAGTTTATATTCTTTAAAATTTTTAAGGATAGGTATTAGTGAGTTTTAAAAGACCCTGAAGATTTGTTTAAAACTATACATCTAACAAAAACTTATGACATTCCAAAAGATTTATTCAAAATTATTATAATTACTATGTCTAACTTTACATTTTGTTTCATGAATATGGAGAAAAAAGTTAGATTTATCTTAACTCCAAACACTAAGTTTATATGAAAATGATTTTTAAAACACATGTTCTTCAATTTTTTTTTTTTAAGGGAAAAATGTCCTCACTTTCCATTGCTAGTCTGGTTAGGCAGTTCTTGTACATTATTTATGACATCAAATTATATTGGCATGGGGAATGAAAGCAAGCTGCTTTTATTAAACTCTCATGTAAAAAGTCTCAAGTAATAAGAATTCATAACCATTCTTATACAATATAAACACACTTTTGAGTGCAATAAAAATTAAAATGCTGGAAGATGTGGGCATTTTCAGTTTTCTTTTTTTTTTCTTTTTTCCTTTGTGATAAACCACTGTATAATATTTGTTTAGTGTATATTGTTTAAATTTCAGGAAGTTTTGAGTATTTTAGTTTCTTGGTCATGACATGTGTCACACACATGTATCAAATCCTATTATTATAAAGAGCAAGGAAGCACCCTCTTGACTATACATATAGAGACAATTTCCTTCCCTACTTTCCAATCTGTCTACTTTATTTCATTTTCACGAATGATTGTCTTAGTGAATATTTTAGTTTAAGATATAATTAAAGTGAAGTTATAGAGATCGTCTCTTATTCATCATCTTAACTGATCACTATTTTATTCTTTTACAATTTAGTGTGAGTTTTGTCATACATTTCTTGAGGATAGTATTTTAATTTTAACGCAAAAATCACTTTCAGTAGAAAGAAGAAAGTATTACACATAGGATGTGATGTAAAGTGTTCTCAGAGCAATTAATCAGCTATTACTAGGGTTAGTGGCACATGTCTTTAATTCCAGCACTTGGGAGGCAGAGGCAGGCAGATGTCTGTGAGTTTGAGGCCAGCCTGGTCTACAAGAGCTAGTTCCAGGATAGGCTCCAAAACAATACAGAGAAACCCTGTCTTGAAAAACAAACAAAACTTGAAAACAAACAATCAACTGTGTCAGAACTGCTGAAGGCTGGAAGAGACTAGGTACTAGTATAACCCCCTGCTATAGCAAAGGTCATAAAGGGCAAGGCTCTTTGTTATAATTTCTTTGGATGTCTCTTGTTTCTAGGTTTAAATCTTTGAAAGCAGAAAAAGACATATGCAGATAACTTGAGCTGCCCAAAATAATTTACCTTCTGTCTCATACTTCACTGAGGATATGACAACGAAGAATTCTAAATTTTTTTTCTATATAAAATTATCTTCCCCATAACAAAATGTTTAAAGTTGCTACATCTATTGAATGATGAACAGCATATGAAATGTTTTCAATGGGATAAAATTACTTTATATATAACAATATAAATTATTGTGGAATTTATTTGAATGGAGTGAGACATTTGTTGAAGTAAAAATGCTAAAGTGAATAAATTTAAGTATTGGCTAAAATTTACTTAAAAAATTAAGTAGTACCCAGTGTTGTGGCATAGTCATCATATCAGAGAAATTAGGGTGAATAGGCAAGAGGATTGTGAGTTCTAGGCCAGTTTAAAATAAAAAATGAGCATCTTACATCAAACAGACAATAAGAAACAAAGAGCAGAAATCCATGTCAAGTGTAAATAGAAAGAAATCCTACATCAATTACTTCCAGTACTTCATCCTAGGAACACTATGCATCCATGTATAGAAGCACCATGTATCCAGTACCTCAAGCAATGGTTGCTCCAGATGTCACTGAATTTTCACATTTGGAAAAAAAAAAAAAAAAAAAAAAAAAAAACTTTATATATCTTAAGAATTAGAAAAAAAAATAGAAAATTTAAAAAAAGTTCTCCATAAATCCCTGGAGAAAATAGATTTTGGATATCAATTCACTGTTTTTTAGGGAAATTTGCTTTCTCATGAGTATCTGCCATTTTTCCTCACTGATTCCCCCCCCCCCACTCTACATCTGAACTTACGGACATTTTTTTGAATCATAAAATTATGAACACTTCTACTGAAATATAGAATTTTATAATAAATTCATTTTTAATATTCAAGGATATGTTTAAAAACAATAATAATATCTACTTACTATTTATGTTAATAAATGAAAATTGTTACATTTATTTTAATGATCCATTAAGGTAATTATACAGAAAGCAAAAATAGTCTAAGGAATAAATAATTTCTATGTGGAATTTGTGTACATGGAAAAGAATAATGTCACTCAGAGAAATCTGCACTCTTTGTCCCATATATATATATATATATATATATATGTATGTATGTATGTATGTATGTATATATATATATATATATATATATATATATATATATGGAACACTTATTTTGTGTGTAGAATTGCCTTTCCTAGCACTAGCTCTGTTTACCAGGCTGATCTTGAACTCACAGAAATCTGGCTGCTTTTGCTTCCCTAGTGCTGGGATTAAAGAGTTGATTTACCACCACCTGGCTCAACCAATTTCTTTACCCCTTCAGAGTCTGAATGAAGAACATGGCAGCAGGAAACCATTGCACAGTGACTGAGTTCTTCTTAGCTGGGCTCACAGAGAAGCCAGGACTCCAGATGCCCCTCTTCCTTCTCTTCATAGGGATAAAATAGAAAATTATTTATTTATTTATTTTCTTAATTATCTATTTATAATTCACCATACCTACTCAATGTTGCTGCACCAGTTTGCAATTCCAGTAACATATCTTCTCCATAGTTTGTAATTTTGGTGTTCTTGAATTTATTTCAACTTAGTAAGTTAAAATTGTTAATGTTGTGATTTTGTTTGTTTGTTTATTTATTTTATATAACCAAGTCCATTTAGATGAAAACAAACATTTATAGACAATATTTGGGAATTTGGGCATCATTCTTTCCAAACTACTTCCTGCTGGTAAGGGACACTGTCATAGGGGATTCTAAGAAGATGCAGAAATCCTGGCTGTTGTCTGTAAGGCTGCTTTGTCCAGCTGTTTTGTATGTAGGATCACCTCGTACTCTGCTTCAGGCGGTCTGGCTTGATCAAACCACATTAGTCTGAAAGGAATCCACAGCTCTTAATTTTCTGTGGAAACAAAAATAGAAATCCTTTTGCCCAGTAACTTGTCCTTGAACTTAAATTTTGGAGTCAAAGCTTTTTTTTTTTAATTTAATTTATTATTTTATATGTCAATCCCAGTTCCCTCTCCCTCCCTCCCTTGAAGAACCCATCCTGATTGAGGTTACCCAGTCACAAAAAGGGGAACATGGTATGTACTCTCTCATATATGGATTTTAGACCTAGAGCAAAGGATCACCAACCTATAATTCACAACAACAGAGGAACTAGGATAGAAGGTGTATTCTAAGAGATTCATATAAAGTCCCTCACAGAAGGGGGAAGGGACAAGTCCCCCAGAGCACAGGAGAATTGGGGGGGGGCAGTGAATGGAGAGAGAAGTAATAGAAAGAGAAGGCGAGGAGAAGAATGTACGTGGGACTAGGAAGATTAAGTCTGGGTAGGGATAGAAGACAGATGTGGTAAAGAGAATGAGAGAGAGAGAGAGAGAGAGAGAGAGAGAACATAAAAGAAGTACCCATTATTGGTTTGAAGAGAAAACTGAACCTAATGAAATGTCTAGAGACTTACAAGACTGCTGCCAAGTAACAATTTGAGCAACCATGGAAAGGCTACCATAAATGCCCTTCCCAGATAGTGAGATCAACAACTAACTTTCTACCACCATGGAGCCCTCATCTAGTACCTTTTGGAAACAGACGCAAATACCCATACCTAAACACTGATTCATACTAGAATCGAGATGCAGAGGGAGAGGACATGACCAGTATGCAGAAACACATAGAGACAGCTGAACTGAACAAGGAGGAGCTAACTGGCCCCAAGAGTGATAGCTGGGAATCTAGCATGGGGATGACTCATGCCCCCCTGAATATGGGTCTCAGCCAGAAGGACTGAGCAGACTAAGGGACCTTAGACAGTGGAATCAGGATGTATTCCTTGTGCACAAAAAGACCTTGTGGACACATCACCCATGGAGGGATACTTCCTCATCCTAGAGACAGGAGAGAAGTCCTAGTCCTTACTTTACAGATTTACATGAGCTCACCTGGATGGTATTGCCCTACATGTAGAATTGGGTTGGGCAGATGGAGGGTAGGGTGGTCAGGTTGCATGTGAGGCTAAGAGAGAGGGGAGGAGGGATGGAGAGGTAACTGGGATTGACATATAAAATGAAAAAAATATTTTGTAAGGACAAATTTATGAAAAATATTCAAGCTTCATAATTGGCTAATTTGTTGAAAAGGAATGGTAATTTGCCATTTACTAGATTATCACACTTTTTAAAAATAGTTCCTTTTGTTTTTGTCAGATTAAAATGTAATTACATCATTTCCCCCTTCTCTTTCCTCTCCTAGACCTCCCATATACCCTCCTTGATTTCTTGAATATTCATGACCTCTTTTTTCATTAATTGTTGTTACGTACATATATCAATACCCATATGTACATATATATTCCTAAATACATAAGTGCAGTCTCCATATTGTGTATATTGTTGCTTGAATGTGTATCTTCAGGGTTGAACATTTATTTGTAGATAACCAGTTGGTATTCTCTTCCATGGGAATGACTATTCAGCACGCCTAAATTCCTATAGTTCTTTGTGTAGGATTGAGGTTTGTTGAGGTTTCTGTGTACAAGTTCAAAGAGAATGAATAATAATTTCATATGCTGCTTTTGGTGATGTGATTACAACATATACAAAAAGGGCTTAATATTAAACTTAAAAACAAATCTGGAACTTTATTATACTGAAATACAGTTATGGTCATATTGATGTTTATAGAAAAATCTGAGTGCATAATTTTTATGATAAAAGGGAAGTAGACTTTCCCCTTTGACAGATTAATTTATTAAGATACAATGTTAGTGACATTTTAAGTTCTTTTAGATCATAAAAGTAAAAGATCAGTTGTATGCTTTGCAAATCAAATGGGCAGCCCAGTAATAGTATTTGTTCTAAGAAAACAGGAAAATATAGAATGCATATGGGAGATATAAACATGAATAACTGAGGCTTGGTGGGGTAAACCTGAAGGGAACTGGCAAAGGAACATACTAAGACAAAATTAAAAACCAGTACTTGTCATAAAATACAGTGGAGAATATAATTATACATGATTCAATACTATTATATGTGGAAGATTGTTCATGAGCCTGTAATATTTTGGTAGCTTCTTACAATGATTTTAGTTATGTGTTTGCATTTGTAGCTATAAATGAAAGAAAAACAAGGAGAAGTAAAAGGGAAGTGCAAAATTTACTACCTCATCTGCCCTGGGGAATGTACAATCCCATAAGTGAAATTTGAGTTGATTATTATCCTTAAGGACACCAAAGTGAAATCATCCTTATTGGTCTAGAAATAATTTATTAAACCTGTTCTTCCTAAAGGAGTTTAATTAAGGAAGAGGATCCAGAAGAAGTCTCTATATCAAGTCCCAAAGATAATTCACTTACATCATATGATTTATATAATGCTACCTGGTATTATGTTGAGAAAAGAAATGGCAGTTGTTTAAATGTTTGTTTTCTAATGTAGAAAATGGGCAGAATCACAGCAAAAAAGGAAATGATGGTTTTTAACTCTCAGATGAAGTTAGATATTGAGATTTACAAATGCTTAGAACCTTTGTGTACAAAAGAGTAGGAACGTTAATTTCAGAACTGCCATTTCCTTCATAGGTAGAGCTATTTCCCTGCAGAAATGAAGGCAAAAGGTGGACCACAAACAAATATCTAAGCCTTCTAGGCAGAGGGTAAGTATCATCATTGTGCTTTTATTCCATGTGCTTTACTGCTTTATCCAGCTTTGACTAAGAAGTGTAGAGTGCTGAAAGGTTCTTGTAGGAGGAATGTAGATCCAAAGTTTTCAGTTTCTCCAGCGTGTTTTTTAAATCAGAGAACTATCTGTGAAGGTGACCCCAGCTCTCCTGACAATTTAATACTTGTTGTTCATTTTAGAAAGGAAATAGACCACTGTCAGTCTCTTCTATAGTTCAGTCCTCAAGATCTCTGTCCACATTGACTCACAATTTTAATCAGCTGTCAATGTAGTGAGTGAATACTGACAAGCTTAAACTTCAATGATAGAGACAAATAGAAGCAGAGGGATGAGAATGGCTGTGTGTATTCGCAGCACATTTCTCACATGTGTTTTCACTATGCTTAATCTTCCACCTGTGTCTCCCTCATAGAACCAGCAATAAATCATATAATAGTCATGTTTCTGGGAATGTTCTCTGGGCCACTGGATGCAGGATGACTATGTGTATCATAATTCTGAACCTGACTCTTCTGTCTTTCAGACCCTGATAGAAGAGAATGGACGCTAGGAACATTTCCTTCATTACTAACTTCATCCTGGTGGGTTTAACAGAATATTCAGAGACCCAGTTCCCCTTCTTCTTCCTCTTCCTAGGCATCTATGTTGTCACTGTGGCAGGAAACCTGGGCTTGCTCACTCTAATTGGACTGAATTCTTCCCTTCACACCCCTATGTACTACTTCCTCTTTAATTTATCTTTCATTGATCTCTGTTACTCTACTGTCATCACCCCAAAATTGTTGATAAACTTTGTTTCAGCCATGAACACAATTTCCTATGAAGCATGCATGACTCAGCTCTTTTTCTACTGCTTCTTTGTCAGTGCTGAATGCTATGTGTTGACAGCAATGGCATATGATCGCTATGTGGCTATCTGTAAGCCCCTGCTGTACACAGTTACCATGTCCCCTCAAGTCTGCTCTCTGTTGGCTCTCATTGTATATGTGGGAGCATTTATTGGTGCATGGGCCCATACTGGATGCATGCTGAGATTGACCTTCTGCAAGGACAATGTTATCAACCATTACATGTGTGACATCCTTCCACTGCTAGAACTTTCGTGCACCAGCACTTACATCAATGAGCTGGTAGTATTCATTGTTGTAGGTTTTGATGTAGGTGTGCCTAGCATTACCATCATTGTTTCTTACTCATTCATTCTTTCTAGCATACTTCAGATTCATTCCGCTGAAGGAAGGTCCAAGGCTTTCAGCACTTGCAGCTCACATATAATTGTGGTTTCTGTTTTCTTTGGGTCAGGGGCATTCATGTACCTCCATCCTTCCTCTGTTTTGTCCATGGATCAAGGGAAAGTATCCACTGTCTTCTATACCATTGTGGTGCCCATGCTCAATCCTTTGATCTACAGCTTCAGGAACAAGGAAGTCAAGGTTGCCTTGAGAAAAGCCTTGAGTAAGAAAATATTCTCCTGAACTGAGGGTAGTATTGGTTATTAAAGAAAATACCTGCTTGTTTTGAAATGTGAAAAGAAAGAGCATTGGGTTTGGAGTTGACCTGGCATGAAACTTTGGAACAATAAGGATACTCTATCATCTGACAAGGTGATTAGAAAAACATAAGTTAAATCTACATCATATTGGTTGTGGAATTTCTTTCTCCTTTCTTTTATCCTTTTCCTTCTTTTTATACTCATGGTAATTCTCCTGCCTCAGGCTCCTGAATGAAAGAATTATACTCATGAAACACCATGCCTGAATGTTTTCTTTCATTATAGTCAATGTTCTCCTCAGTGTTTCTGAGTAATTTCCATATCTTTTAAAGCACAATTACCAGTTAATTATAGGTTAAAATATTATTATCATGTAAAGAATCCCTTGTGAGACAAGTAAATATATGTATGTACATATATATAATTGTAAAATATATATATTTCATACCTGTAAGTATCATTGCTGCAAAACTGAATTCTCTAAGGCAAAGCTAGCTACTAGGTGACCAAAATTAACTATGGTGGGTTTGAAGGACTATAGACAGATAGGAAACAAGAATTATTAGCAAATCAGCTCTGAAAGAGGATCTCAGCCCTTTTGGAGAAAGGCACAGAAGACGTAGTAAGTCGCTGGTGGTTGCTCCCTTGCTTCTCTGCTCTTTCAGGTTCTTAACTCAATATCTGCCTCCAGAATTTTTGTTGATAAAGAATAATTAGTTCAGCTTTCAGATGTCCCTTTTTAAGGGGCAGGGCAGTGAAAAGAGTGATTTGAAAAATTTATGCATGAAGAAGTATACAAGGGTACAGTCATGTAGACTTGGATACACACCAACTGAAACAGCTATCATTTATTTATGGGAAATTATATTCAATATCTTTCCTACAAGAAAATTTGAAAATTATAAAATTAAACTAAAACAAAATAAACAGTCAAAAGGTAGAAAATACAATAGTTTTCACATCATTTGACCCTTAGAATGGGATGTTTTTGAGTCTAACTTTGATTCCTTAGAGAAAATAAATCTCTTCAAAGGCTTGAAAGAGAAACTAAATTACTCCATAATTTGTATTATTTAATTATGATCTCCCAAAAGGACAGATGGATTTTAAACAAATCCATAAAGAATTCATCTTCTTCAGGACAAAAAGCAAGCTTACTTTGTGGGCCTTATCTTGTCTTTATACTGAGGTATTATGGGTTTCCATCCTGTTCAATAGTGTGGGGAATTAGTCTCCGGATTTGAAAGACATTGAACTTATGAAGCACTCCTAATCTATAGTTACACAGTTACTGATTGAGTTTTCAAGAGCCACTCTTTGTCTTTTTACATTATGCCTTTAAGCTGTTGTTATCTAGCATAAACTCTATACTTAAAATTAATAATCATTTCCTCTTATTTAGTATGTCAAAACTAAAAAAAAATTGTTATCTAGAAACAAAAAAGGTCTCTAAAATTTTATGAGTATGATGTTCTAACATAAATATTTTTGAAAGAATATTTTACTCCAAAAGGCAATACTTTCCCATGTCCACAGCAACTTCACTATCATTGATCATCACCATCAAATTATTTTAGTAAGGTTCTGAGTTTATGCTACTTAACTTACTTTGGCAGAGCATATTTCCATTTATTAAGGAGCTTATAATATAGAAGGAAAAATCAGTAGAAGATGCTCACAGAAAATTCAGTGCAATGTGTTACTTTCTACAAGTCATTAGGGGTTTATGGAGATACAGGGAGGAGAATCCAAGTATATTAATGGGAAACATAGACGGGTTCTTGAAGAAGATAGTATGTGCAGACCTACATGAAGCAGGGCTTACCTAATTATGAAGAAAAGTAAAAAAGATGGTTGCTTAGGAAGGAGGGAATTCTGTACTTGTATCTTTATGTGTCTGTCCATGCATGCCAAAAGACAAATGATCTAAGTTCATTCTTTTTATATTAGCAGTATCAAATCCATTAACTTCCCTTCATAAAGTGGTTTCTGTGGGTATATTAACATTTTATTTGGTCAATGTTTTGTCATTTTTTCCTATGTTCCAAGGTCTCCAAAATATAATTTTATTTTCTCTTATTCTTGGTTTTTATATGAACTTTTCTTGGATGCCCAAATTATATCATTGTTTCTGTTGACTACTCATAGCGTGTAGCCCCATATTTCAAAACCTCTGGAAAAAATATTTCTAACTTTTTTTAAATTCAGTTTCTTTACATTTACTCTAGGACTAGGGTTAAATGGCTTACACATTCCCCCTTCAGTACATTTTATATTTGTGTGTCACAACTTTTTTATTCACATTAGAGCTAACATTTTTCTTAATTTTCCAGTTAAATATTCATAATTAATAAAGTTTTTGTAAATTCTGTTGAGACTAAGATATGCAACTTTGTATTCTCAACACAGCTTGACAATACAACTTAAAAGATTGTATATTATACTCTCCATTGCCTAAGTACCTTAAAAATGATATGTCCAAAAATTTTCAAATATGACTATCATTATTGCACAATTCCACCCCATAAATCCATCAAAAATAAAACAAAGTCAGGAAACATCTAGAGATATAAAACATATCTACACTCTCATGTCAAAAGAGTCACCCTTCACAATAGCAAAAGGTTCAAGTGACCAAATGTTTAATTTGAAAGATAAAATAAAAATGGCAAAGACATAAAATGGAATATAACGAAGGCTTAAGAAGGAAGAAATTTTATTGGTACCATGCATGGTCCTAACAAATATCATGGTCAGTGAGATAAGTCATTATCAGAATAACAACTGTGTGGTCTCTCTTCTACAAGGCATCTAAGATAGAATAATAAAAACCAGTGGAAAACCAAGGGATGAGGAATGTGATCAATGAGGATGAAGTTAGTCATAAGTCAGTAGCTTCTAGATGTCAACTGTGCAGAATAGTGAATTTAGTGGACAGTGTGGAAATATTCACTTCAAACTTTTATAAGAAGGTTTTTCTAATGTTACGCATTCTTACAAAAGCATAAAACTAACCAAAACCAATCCAAAGAAGTCAAAGAAATTTTGGAAGTTGATGAAATATTACCTTAATTATGGTGATGACATAATGTATGCAATCATAACCCAAAAATTATATACATAAATTATATATAATTTTTAGATACCAACTAAATTTCAAAAAACTGGAAAAATGAACATGTAAATTAAGTGCAATATTTCATCTAGAATTTTGCAAGTAAATATAAGACATTGTTGTAACACAAATACATAAAAGACCCAGAGACTGATATTTGGGTTCAAGCTACAAGCTGATGATCAGAAAATCAAAGCAGTTGGCACCTAACTTCTTACTGCTACCTCAGTCTGAATGGGCTGTTCCTGTCTCTACAAGCTCTTACCAAACCTCAGACTGTAATGTCTCCTCAGCATGGTTGGAGAATGAATGCCTCTCTGAGACCTTGCTTCTGTCTTATATACTTCCCTAATGTTGGAATTAAAGGTGTGAGCCACAATTCTCATTTAGACTGATTCACTCTTGTGTAGATCTGGGTGGTCTTGGACTTATAAAAATCCCTCCATCGCTTAATCCCGAGTCCAAGGATTAAACGTGTGCACCACCACCTCCTAGCTTCTGGTTGCTAATATTAAAGGTGTGTGCCTTTAGTAACTTGTGGCTGATGGCTTTCTGAATCCCCAGGCAACCTTTAATAAATCGTAAACAATATATCATCACACATTGTTCCTTCTCTAATAGAAATAAAAGTTATTGTAATTCCTAGCAATTTTTAGGTTGATTCTAAAGTTTTGGTGTCTATTAGTAGCCATTGTATTCATTAGGGACAGTGTAATACAGATAAATTCAATCAGAGACACTCTGTAATTATAAAACAGTCATCAAATATTACAGGGAATATGAGAACAAACATGATAAGTATGTCTATATTTCTAATCTATGCCCATTTAACAATACTATGAATAAAGCAGTGTAATATTAGTGCATATTACTAAGATTCCTTTTACATGTTGATTTATATCTGTTAAGTATTGTTCAAATAGTTATGCTATAATGTATTGTTAAAGCACTATTGTGGGGGAATGAAAAAGGCGAAAACAGCCTTTCTGTATGTTTTTACCAATTACCCCAAACTTCATGCATATGAAGGAAAAAATTGCAGCTGTTTTTGATGTCATGGAAATTCACTGAGATTTATGAGAGTTTTATTTTATACTTTTAACTTACCTATAAAGTTTAACATATTATCAAAGTACTATGTGGGTTTGTTATAAAAATATTCAGACATTCTAAAAGAATTGTGTTAGTACTATTTAGGTTTAGTAAGAAGTGGTTTTTAACAAAGTTTGACTTCTCAAGTGGAAATATTGAGGCTACAGCTAAATAATAAGACATTTCATCCTACTGCAGTCAGAAAACACCTGAACAGCCCATGAGAAGGATGAGGCTGATGTGCACATGGGTTGCGCTTAGAGAACCTTAGTTCTATATATCTATTTTCATTGTTTTCTACTTTAATGTAAAACACAGGACATGATCCTTTAGCAAGTATTGAGTCTACTTGACATTTGAGTGAAGGACTAAGAGCATCTAGAGAAGGTCTCTGAAGATGTCTCCTCCTGCATCCAATTTAGAGAATGAAGTAATGATCAAGGAGATGCATTCTGAGAGGAAGATTGTGTCTCTAAAGGGACTCTGTGCTCATCACTGTTCAGATGTAAACAGTCTGTCTGTTTCCAGGGAAAACTATTCAGGATATTAACTAATCATTGACATTACCAAAATATGACAACATTCACTGCATTGACCACCTAGACTGCTCATGTGATCATAAATGATAAACTTTCCTCTGTTGTGACTGCACTGAGCTTCTTGCTGAAGGCCAGAAAAATGCACACTTTATGTTCATCCCTAGAAGAGTCCCAGGACCACTCATGGCTACAAGCTGTGTCCTAATACTGCCAGTATTACAGAAGCCTGAATAGTTT